TATGCATGTATAGTTTTTTTTTTTAAAAAAAAAAAAACAAAATATATGCATGTGTACATGATTGAATATTAGTAGTTTTGCTATGGAGCCATCGGATATCACGACTCATGGAGCTATCCACACTTATTCTCAAATAGTGTATTGACACGTGTTCTGCGATAAATACAGTTTGAACATGTGTCAACGCATTAAGTAATAGATGACTCCATAAGAAAACCATCCGATGACTTTATAGAATTCTATGAATATTGGTTATAAGAAACAAAAATGAATGTTTGTTAATTACGACATTAATGGACATTGAGTTAATTTTGAAATTTAATAAGAAGAAAGATCCGTTGGGACTTAATAATACAGTGATGAGAATAGAAAAAGCTGTGTAAATAAATAGTACAATCCCTGTGTGTGTGCGATTTTTCTTGAGACGTTATACAAAGCGACAAAATTCACATTCAAATTGGGATAAATTTTTTACTAAATTTAAAAGTGGAGGTTAGTTAAACAAAATTACTTCAAATTATTATTATTATTATTTACTAGTACAACGTCCGTGTATTACACAGGTGTTTGTTAATTTTTTCTTAAAATTTAAAATTAATGAGAAAAAAATAGTTAAAAATTTAAATATCTTTTATAAAAATATATATATTATTATATGTAGTATGACATTTTTTATTTGTGCAACTTACACGTGTTATATTATAATAATTTTTTAAATTTACAACATATAACTATATTAAACATAAATATATCAATTGAGAAATAATTTTATTTTTCTAATGAATTTAAATTAATATATATATTTTTTTTATTATAAAGATAAATATAATTTATTTATTTCATATATACAATATGGATGTCAAATCGAAAATCATCAAAAGATGATTAATTTGATATATTATATATATGTAAAACCGATAAGAAATACAAAAGTTATCAACTTTTAAAATACATTTATAATTTAATAGTTAATTGAAGGAAACAAATCAAAAGTCAGGGATATATTAGTCACTTAGTACCTCAGTATGTAAAATTGCAAATGAATAAAGGGTTATATTAGTAAAAGTGATATTAAAATACCTAAGTTAACTAAATAATATTTATGGAATGTCCAAACTTAAATTATTAATTAATTATTAATATATCAATATTATTTGTCCAAACTTAATTACGAAACATTATTCTTTGTCAAGTAGGATTTCGAAACACCAGAAACAGCCACGTAAGCTCAGCGCATTCGAAAATAATATATAGAGAGAGATTATTTTTTTTCTGTATGTGTGTGTCCATGATTAATTTACTTTACTTTGCCTTGGATTATGATTTTTACTTTAATTTGCCTTAGATTATGATTTTTACCAAACCTATAAAAGTTATATTATCAATAAATTGAGTTTTTCTACTTTCTACCATACACCACATTAAAACTGTCACACAAACATCAATGATCTCGAACTCAATAGCCTCTTTCTATGGGATACATTTATATATAGTTTTCCATTTTATTATTATTTTTTTAAATTTTAAAAATTTTTGTTTTCACTAATAAGTATCCTATAATTATTTTAGGGAAATGTTATGGTTTTGTTGCGGTACCATCCCGTTGGATGTTTTAACAGTTAAAACATTTGACCGGATGGTTTTAACAGTTAAAATATTTGACCGGATGGTACCGTGACGGGACCGTAAAAATTTCCATTATTTTAATTATTGGTTTTTTAAATATTATTTCTACAACATCAACAAAACGTAATGATTGATTCCGCAATTTATTGCATTTTTTCTTTAAATCAACTTAAATTCTTTAAACTCATATTCACATTAAAAAAAAAAAAAAAAAAAAAAAAAAAA